TGCTTGATCTGATATACCCGAATATGATGATTTTTTCACAAATAATTATTAATTTGTAAACAGGGCAAGTAGGGTCGTATTTTCGGGGATTGGGGATATTTGTCTCTTTCGAAATCCAAAGTAACACGGAGGGTATTTTTGTATAAACGATGACAATCAAAGAAATTCAAATAAAAATAAATAGCTAACTAGAAATTAAATGACAATTCACTAAAATTAGAGTAACAATAATTAAAGGTTTAGCCAAGAAATAACCTCAGCAATGGTTCACCTAATTGATCATCGAGGCAAATGTAATTCCAATTATTTACTAATAAATAGGTTATAACCATCAAACAAGCGATGACAGTTAATCCCTCCTTACTGTGTCGGTGATTAAGGTATACCCGTTAATCACTGCTCTAATTGAGAAATAATCCTAAGTACGCCTGTAAGATTTAATTCCCCAATTGCTTTACGTATTAGAGAGACCCTATTCTAACCAAATAACGCACTATCAGGGTTATTTCAAATTAGTTCGCGTATCCCCCTGACACAAAACTAATCATACCAGTTGTCACTATTTCAGGACAATTAAACAATTACGGATTCAACGCTCCAATTGACAATAGATTACCAAATTAACTAATTATCCGGATCCAAGACAATCGATTAATTGGACACCCATAAGCACTGTAATCAAAGAATATGCGAATATCAATAAATAAAAGAAAAAGATAAAAGTAAATCGATCTCACAATTTTTAGGTGAACTAAAACCTCCGTTATTCTTGGACTAGACAAAGGGGATTTAGTTCATCCTGGATGCGAAAAACTCACACAAAATTGAAGCAACAGTCGCGGCCATCAATTGGGTAAATTCAATTCGTTGGAATACTGATGAAAGAGCAAAGCTACAGGAAGTGATTAAATGTCTTCACTTCGTCTGGACATACGAAGAAAGAAAAAGCTACTAAAGGACAAAACAGAAAAGGCTCAGCCTCCGTAGTACTTGTTCTCTGCTATCTAATATCTAGTTCCTACTCTAATTTCCCTACTTCTATCTAATGCCTAGCTACCGTGCGGCGTCCCCAGCGGTCAGGAAGACTTCAGCCTTTCGTTCTTTTTTTCCAATGCTATCTTCCGCAAATTATAAAAAAGGGTCGCGTTTTGATATTTCAAAAATGCCGCTGGACGCCTCTACTTAAACTTCTTCCTGATGACCGTCAAATTGGCACTTATTATGGTATTTTCGTTTTACTCCCTGTAATAAATGCAAATTTTTAAAAGTGAGTAGAATCTAACAATTAATCTACATCAGGTCAGGTAATAGGGAAAATTAATAATAACATAAATGATAAAATTGCAACCTATCACCAATTGGTAGCTTTTGTCGTCTTGTAAGTTCTATAGTCTTTGATTCTATGCAACAGATATAATCCATGAAGCTTGACGTCTGTATCATAACTTGAAAGACATTCATCTCCATTCAAACTTACATAGTTATTGTCAATGCTAATTTCTATAATCATGAGTTATACTCTTGACAGTAATCCATGCTTAATATTCAGAAGAAAACAACAGGTCTAACTGCAACTTGTGATCAAGGGTAAAGAGGCCTAAGATTCTCCATACATTCATAAAACTCTTGTTGTTACAGTAAAGGATTTCAGGTCTAGGATCTCAAGAGTTTTCCAAAGGGGCCTTATGTTGTGATTGAATGTTTCTTGGGTTGGAAAAGGTGACCAGGGTGCCTCCCACTACATATAGTCTTCTGAAATGGTTTGTAGCATGCAGCAGGCTACTTGTGGTGCAAACCCACTGGATAGCTTCTGAAGAAAGCTCGACATTGTCTTCTATTGCTTTGTTGTTTAAGATAATCATACTTGTATGGGTGGTAGACGTCTAGGCACAGAATGTTCCTGAAGTCCCGGAGTACTCAACTCTACGTCTCATACACAAGCATGGTACCTTGCTCTGACTCATCAGCAAATGAATGATGCATACTGGGAAGGATGCAAGACAAAGGCAGCTACAATAATTATTCCAGTTTTTAGATCTACTGGTTTCCTTTTAAAGTAATCTTCAATACAATGACAGACCAGTTCCATCAGTTCTCCATTAGGAGCTATGCTTTTTATGATGGCCTAGATCAGTCCCTGAACTTGATACGGGGATGGATAGTTGTTCAGTTTGGGCCTTCATTGCAGGGAAAACTAATTATTGTCCGTGAATGTGTGAAGAGATAAAGAGGATCTAGATGTTACAGTACAAGCTGGTGTTTTTTCTGCTTTCCAACGCTAAAGCATGTCACAGGCGATAATGGGGAGTTTGTAGTGCTATCTGGGGATGGCATTAGGACGACGAAACTTGTTATGGTACTACGTGCTAGTATTATGTCATTGGGCAAATCAATAGCTTTTGTTCTAGCAAGGAAATGGGGCAGGATTACCACCTCAATCGTGACTGTAAAATAGCTTATCCAATGCCCAAAAAGGTTGTCTTGCTTTCTTCAACTTAACAGCTACATGCATTCTAAGAAAATCAGCAGAAGGATTACCTCAATCTGAAGTTGAAGATGAAGCAGTCTAATAGCCTGTTACCATTGAAAAGAAAATGATGTACAATTCTGGCTGTTCAATTCTGTCTCCAATCACAACATTAATCTGCTCAATAAATGTGTTCGTTTGTACAGTCGACACTTCAATATTGCCACACCAGGTTCCTAATGAATGAAAGTTGATCCCTCCAAAGCCTGCTCCTGACAAAGTAACAAAAGACTCGATCACCAATTCCAAAGACAGATAAAGCAAGGTTGTGATTTATGGCATCAAATGTCACTTTTTCAGTGCCGAAAGTTTCCTTACAATCTGTGCTCACTTATCTCCTGTATATAGAGTGTTGCAAATTCTAAGCATTTCATCTATGGCTAGCCCGGGGAACGTAATGCTACTACGAGTTTCAATAATTTCATGGCTAGCAGGTGGTATAATCAAGACTTCATAAACTAATAAACTCCATATGGTTTACTGATTTGAATGTTAGAAGACTTCTGCTGAATATTATTTATTGAACAGCTTATCTGTATAATGAAGAACTAGTACTGTTACACAATAATAATGTTGCGGAGCAGGAGGCTCTTTCAACTACGACATTGTAAGTACAATGTGGTGAACCACAAACTACAGCTTGCCCAGATCCTTCAGTGTATATCAACTCGGATGGCCCTCATTTTACCGAAACGGCCAATAGATGGATTGCCTTGACTTTATTGAAAGGGCCATACCTTTTTTTTTGCGCTTAGTGGTATTTCAATCTTTCGGTCAGACTAATTCCCTAAGGCTATATAGAATCTTGTCCTAAGGATATACAGTGAAGTAGCACACGAGGATCAATCACGGGACCTGCCGGTAAAGATTAGGCTACGGAACCAATCCGACTAGCTATGGAGATATTGAAAGGGCCATAAACTACACCAAAGATTGATGTCTGCTGCATATCAGATGTTGCGAGCTTGTATGTAGCTAGCGGTTAGGATAAAACACAGTGGACATTTGATCTATTGGCAACAAATTAGGAAAATGCTTGTTGTTGTCCATGTAGAAAAGTGGAACCTTCCAACTCATATGTATCGAATTACCTATCCGTATTCTTGAAGAAATTCAATGTCAAGCATATATGCTAAGCAATACTATTGTGTAGTGTCTTGTACTACTATTGAGTAGACCTTCCCCTAATATAGGTTAGAGTAAGAGTAGAAGTAGATTTTACGATTGACCAAAGAAAAAAAGATAAATGGAAGGTAAAGTTGATGGGAAATATTTCCTCATTTACAATAAAGAATTAACACGTGTCCACTAATTACTTCAAAAACAAAAAATGTATATTCACTGGCATCATCCGTTATTTACCATCTAAATTACAAACATAAACAATAGGATAACGTTTTAAAAACCTACAATTGCGATGCTAATATCTTAACTCGACTCTTATACAAAGCACAGCATTATTTGTTTTCTTTAGAAATAAGGAAGGTGGTATAGAAGTCTTAACTTTGTCATATGGCAGCAAAATAAATGGTCCTAAATGTATGCTTTTTGCCTCAATGTGCAAGTGGTAACTTTGCCCTTATTTTAGACCGTATATAGTATATTATAGTATACAATGTTTTCTTGAAGTGGCGAATATTTTGGTTTTAATATGTCATTTAGATCTACATAATAGGAAACAATTGGGAAGACTCAAAAAAAAAAAAAAAAAAGAGAAAAAGAATCCAAGAGGCCATTTTGATACAAGTGGAAGTATGATGGCCAATTGAGAATCGATCATAAATGCGGTGGTTTTGTCGTATAATTGAGATTGGTTTAGGGGGCTAATGTAAAATTAGAAGCTTATGAGGGAGGAATTGCACAACTAGTCCATACCAGTGTGTAACTTGAAATATTTATCAGTTTAATGCAAAATGATGTGTTAAAAACATAACATTGATCTCAATACTATTTTTTAGCTAAACCTCTTTTGGCCTCAAAACATCATTACCACGTCACATGCTCATAAATTGAATGGCAATCACGGTTAAGGATGAAATCATAATATTTCAAATAGAGTTATATGTCCATTATATTTTTTTTGAAAATTCAATTCCAATTTTCAAAAAATAAAACACACATAAGATGCGTTTCTTGTTTGGATAAAGAGTTCCATATTTACCCTTTTGTCCTTAAGATATTTTAACATATCTCATCTCAAGTAGTGTTGGCATAAAAAAAAAGTAGTGTTGGCATAACCTATTCATGCAAAAAGTGATGTAAAATAAAATATAGGACCAAACTGCAAGGTTCAACTCCGTTAGAGAGTGGAATATATCATCTGAAATGTGGGGGACAAAAACCTATAAATTGCAAACGTAAGGACCATTCGGGCAATTCTCTAAAAAAGATGTTATACCGCCACTTTATACCGAAAATACCCCAGCCTCCTGCGTATAAAAGCCGTACCACTTCAAATAATTCAAACCGCCTCACACACACACACTAGCACTCTCTGACTCCTCCTCGTCGTCGTCGGAAGCTCTCAACCTTCTTTGAATTCAGGTCTCCCTCTCTCACGCGCACACGCACAACACACTCACATATGAATGTATGTGGATTTTGTTGTAATATCTGCTGTTAGGATAATCACTGGATTAAGTTTCTTTCTAGTTTCATCTCAAAGCCAGGTTTATGTCGTAATTTTGTAGAATTATGTTAAAAATCTCGTAATTTGACTTTAATTATCGTCATTTATCACACGAGCTCGAGCTTTCGCTCCTCAAATTCATCACTTTATCGTCAGTTTGATTTAACATTGCTGCGTATCTATAAATTCTACGTTTTTTGTACATCGAGCAATTTAATAGGAAATGCAGTTATACAACTATCCGGTTGTTATTATTTGTTTTCTGAGATGTGTTAACTTGAATAATTGGAAATATAGTTGTTTTGCGGATAATAATTTTGTGTATCTGTTTGTTTTATTGTTTTTTCCCCCTAATTTTAAGAACTTTTAACTGAGCCGCTTTATACCTGTTTTGTGATTAATGATACTTAAACAATCTGATTAGGTTTTTAAAGTATTAGTAATCACTTTTGAAACTTTTTTATAGAGTTTGGTTTGATTAAAAAAGCATTTTCTTGACGTCAGCATCGTGGAAGTTAGGCTTAAATGTAGCAATACTCAATTCTAACCTTGTTTTGGCAGTAAGAAAGCAGTTATTCAGCCTTAGTTCCCTTAGTGTTGACCAGCTATTGAAAAGTGGGAGGCATGGCAAAACTTCTAGGCACTAAAACAAAACAAAAAACAGTTTCTGTATTTCTTTCAACAATGGCGTCCTAAGCTCCATGTCCCGTGTGTTGTTTTGTCTAATATAAAGGAGGAATGGTGTGTAGAGGTTTAAAATGAGTATTTCTTATGCCTTATGGCATCGTGATTGATTCGACGAAGATCGCATGTAGTCAGGACAATAATTCTGATACCATGTCTATTATTATGATTGCCATAGAAGTGCTTTCTCTTGGCTTTGGCAAGAGATTCACAGCCTATGGGAGCTAGAAATGGGAAGAATAACATTTCCAAACTTGATAATATGTTTGCAAGTTTTTACTAAATTCTCTGTGTGATGTGTCTTTTGGATTCGAAGTACTATTCTAGCCAGATGTTTTGAGTCTAGATATCCCTCATTAGATATCTACTGGAGAAATTATCATTTCCTTAACATTGACAGAAGATTACAACAAAGAATCCTGCAGCTGATTGTCTGTAGTTGGGATTCCTGCAGATATCATAGTGATAACTTATATCACAAATAGTGATTGGGAAAGGCTATGAAAGATTTTCATGATGTACAATGTTGCTTCTTGTGATGGTAGAATTTTAAGTTCTCTGACTCACAGATGCAAGTAGTTTGTGTTGTAGCTCATTTCTCTGGAGGTTTGTTTCTGCAGAATGGATGAATCATTTATAGTCATGATAAAATATTCTTTATTTATCAGCATTTGGTGGACTATGAATTTGCCTCTATACTTTTTGTCTGTAAACATGTATCAGCAGGATGGCTAATTCTTACGAATTCACAATACATACTCTTTTTAATGCTTGCAGAATTGAATTGAAAGATAAATCTGTTCTTAAATATGGTGGAATCCCAGAAGGAAGATTCTTCATCTGTCAACTCAAAACAGAAAAAGTCATTGCTAGGTATCCTCTTCAAAATCTGTTTCTGAAGAGTTTTCAGCTCATTTTTTATCTCTATTTTATTATTATTATTATTTTTCATGAATTATTGTTTTTCTAGTTAAAGATAGAGGCCATGAAGACCAGACTTCATTGATGGGTTGCCAAACTTTTGCAGTGCAGCTTTCTTCTCAAAGCATTTGGTTTGAAAGCTGTAGAAAGCCATTTTCAATAGAATAATTTGTGCAAAATAGATATAAAGTATCAAAATTAAGTGAGATAGTTGAAATAACTAAAAGATAAGTTGATAGCAAACTTTGGGCTGGACTAATTACCAGACCACCAGTAGCTAGCTTCTTAAGGATGAAAATTATTCCTCTTCTTGTTTGTTTAGTATCTCTTGTTGGACCAAAATAATCTGTGGTTTAATCTTATTTGTTCCATATAAGAAAGTAATTTTGTTACTTCTTGTCAGATTTGGACTTTGGGAAGGATGACTTTCTGACTTCCTGGAAGTCAACGTCTATAACTGAAGATGATTCTATGAATTTGGATTTTGGGCCTGTTTCAAAAGGCAAGAAGAATGCATTCAACTTTGGCAAAATGTAAGATCGCACAAATACTTGTATTTCTCTATGTGACTTTTGTTTAGAACATTGGCCATAGAGTACAGTTTTGCTGTTGGAAAGACCTGATGGTTTTCTGCAAGGGTTTCCGGACTCCCACTAAATAGAACTACTGCTGCATTTTGCAATAAATTGATTTGACATTGCTAATACTCCAGGGATGTGGATTTCAATCTTGATGTCGATTTTGGAAAACTCCCATCCTTCAACTTAGACATTCCAGACATTGATATTTCTTCACCGGTTAAAAAGGATGGCAAATCCAAGGGAAGATCCAATGAGGAGTCTGCAAGTGGAAATACTCTAGGAAAAGCAGATCGCTCTGAATTTACGTTTGATTTTGGCGAGTAAGTATGCATACATTTCCAGGGTTTGTCTCTTTTATTTATTCACTTTCCTGCATTTTTCTATTTATGATTCATGCTGCACCGCAAATCTTTACATTCATCCTTAATTTGGGTAACTGTTCAGCACATTATGTGTCCAGTCATCACTTTCAATGCTTGCTTTCAGATTGGATGGTTTCAATTTCAAGCCAAGCTCAAAGAAAGATGATCCAAAAGTCAATAAAGGTGAAAATGAGGAAGATTCTTTGAACAGAAGAGATTCTCAGAAATCTGGGGACTGCCTGGCTGAAGATCTCGATGCACATGCAGATAGAAAATTCAGCAATCTGCCGGCATCAGGGGATTTGATTACTTCGAACCTTGACTCTGAAGTTGGTAGTGGTGCCAGTCCTGATACGTTGAATGAGAATTTCCTTTCTGAGTCTGGAACCCATGATGATGGTTTTCCAAACTCCAAGGCTGCAATAGATGAAGTTGCATCTCCTGAAGAAATGGCCACACTTAAGAAGACAACATCCACCAGTGAGAAAGCATCAAACTGCCAACTAGACAAGTCAGCTTCTCCAATTACTGATCAAACCATACAGCACAAAGCAGTTGATACAGTACTCAGAAGTGAGTCAGGTCAAGATACTCTCTTGAAAACACAAGAGGAAGTTAGTCCCAGGGATGCAAGCGTAAGTAATCAGGTTGGGGAACAAAGTCTACAGCATTTTATAGCAGATTCGGGTTCTAAAGTCTTGTTTCTAATTAATCATTTCTGCAGCATATTGCTAGCTTTGAGAAAGACAATGGGGAGAGCGAAGTTTGTACTAATAATCATGCTCATATTGCCAATAAAGAGGGAGCTGAGCCTGCTCTGGGTGGAACTTATGTCGAACCAATTTTATCAACTGATGCCTCAAAAGACTCTATTACTCATAGTCAAATGAATGTGAAGAACAAGGACAGCTTGGAGCGTTCTACAAGTTCATTAGAGAGGTTAGGATTTTGCAACCTTTGCATGTCCTGTGTGCAAAAGTGACACAAGAAACCACAGATTCTACAATATCTGGTGGTAAATGATTCTGTTAATTAAGGCAGAGCATCACTGAGTGTACAATTACCTTTTCTTAACATTGGTGGTGCTAACCTATGTAGATATTCACTTGTTTTGTCAATTAAGGACAGAATTTTATTGGCCAATGTTAATCTTAGCTGGTCCAATGGTTTCTTTATGTGGTGCAGTAGAGCTACAAATAATAATATGATGCCAGAGAAAGAAAGGGAGGCGGTTATTAGGTCAAAATATTTTAAGCAACGAGACAATGCTGATTCTCGGTTTGAGAATGCTTCACATCAGACAAAGCTTTCGTCAGTGCATGGGAGATTAATTGGCACCGGAGAACCATGTCCTCCGGATGAAAGGTCAGCGATGTTTTCTGAACATTATGATTGAAAATGGTTCTGAAATTTACACTTTTCATCTGATAATTTTTAGCAGGAATTGCAACTCCATAGAGTCTAAAATTGATAACATGGTGGCTGGTGTTTCCCCATCAAGTTCTGAAGTACTGACCAGGAAGGAACATTCTCATATAGGAAGTCAGGAGAACTCTAAATGTCTTAACACAAATAGGTGATGCTTTTCTACTTAGACCCCCACAAATGACTTGAGTTTTATGCCTTTATTTGAAACATTCATTTGGTGGAATTCAAGACTACTCGACCAGGATGTGAATAAACGAATACCTTCATCCAGAGGAGGTGAAAAGAATGTTAAAACTCTAGATTCATTCAGGTGAGGCATCTGTTTCTATGGTTAGAAATATATTCTGTTGGCTTTTCAAATTTTTTTCTCAGAGAAATGAGAATTTTGTAATCTTCAAATCTGAGCATCCTTGCACATTCTTTTCCTGTCACATAGATGCCTGTCTATTTGATGATAAATACTGCCCTCTGTAGATTCTTAAGAATTTCTTGAGTTTCTTGGTTTTCACATCTGAAAAATCACAGCTGTTGAACTGTGAGTATTCACTTCTAACTCTTACGTGCGATTTATGATATAGCTTGTGTATTATGCTGCCTTTCTTTCACAAAATCAATTGAAATAATGCGTGGAACCGCAATCAATCATGGCAAATATTGTATACCACTGTTTAAGTATATTGGCCTGATGCCTGCAGCTTACGTGTTAAACCTTCGAGTGGAATGACAAAGAAACCCAGCAAGTTTGGCCGTGAATTTGGAAACTAGTCAGATTAGGAAAGACGCAGCTGCGGAAGGAGATAAAGTCTCTTCTTCTAAAGCTATTAAGCAGATGCCTGCTCTTTCTACCCTGACAATTAAATCCACATCTCAGAGTCCTGCAAAAGCAGCAAGTTTGCCCATGAATGTGGAAGCTAGTCATTCTACGAAAGGCATAGCCACTGAAGGAGACAAAGTCTCCTCTTCTAATGCTATAAAGCTGATGGCTACTAGTTCTGGCCTCACAATTTTAAGGTAGTATTTTCCTGTGATATTTTACAAAGTTCTTTATGAATGTACTTAGTATTCATTAATGTGGTATTGACATAGAACTTCTGGAGCAAACCTGGGTTCATCGAAGTCTGCAGCCCAGAAAGGAATTGCAGTTTCAGGAGATATGCGGCAAAATAGATTTTTAGCTGGAAGCACACCATCCAAGACTCCCAAAGTTGTTGAAATGAAGAACCAAGCACCAGCCATCCCCTCTCTTAAGCGAAAAATAGCTGAGGTTTGTCTTTCCATATTTTTCCTTTTGATGTTGAGGTTTCTTCAAATCAGTAAAACTGCTATGGCATTACAATAAATTACTTTGCAGCAAGCTAATTTACCTTGGGCAATCATTGCTCATGTCATTGTTTATTTACAGGCTTCTAGTGCAGATGTGATCTTAAATCCATCAAAGCGTCTCTCAGCATCACCTAGCAATGAGTTTGTCTTTATTAATGGCTATATACTTGAGTTTGTTTTCCTGATTTATCCTTGTCACCATGCATGATTTTCAATGAAATCTGCAGAAATTCGGCAGAAATAGGAAAGCTTGTTGATGGAGAGGTGATATGTTAAACTAATAAATTTGCATTTATAAGGTGGTGTTGTAAACATACAGCCTCATGCAGACATGATAGATTTAACACGTAGTGTTACTTGGTTTACATTTCAACAGGTACGTGGAAATGGGAATGTTTCGGATGGGAAGAGCATGACTGTGTACAAAAATCCACAAACTTCCAGAGTAGATGTGCCTGGGGACATGAGTGGACTAGATGCTACCTTCTCTGTAGAAAGTGACATCAACATTGAAAAGGCGGATGCTTGTGCTAAAGGGCTTGAAGATGTAAGTACAAGTTTAATTCCTTTAAGCTGCTTTTATTATGATGAAATATGCATATGTAAGGTTGACCTTGTTGGGTACTTATTTTCTTCCGGCCTTTTAAACTGATTTAGTTGCGGCAACTTTGTAAACTTAAGGTTTTGCTCTTTCACTTGTAACATTACTCACTCCTTCTTCATTATAATATACTAGTATCACAAGATATTCTTTCCCCCCTAGCTTATGATATTAATTGGTCTTTGATCCTGGAAATTTTCATTAAGATTGTAGCCTATTGTGAGACAAGTTAGCTAAAATATAGGGTGCAAACACAATTTTTTTTCCTGAATAATGCAACAGTATCTTTTAATTAAAGCTTCTGGTGAAATCTTCTTTTCCATCATAGGTTCTAGTTACCTTATAGTTGATTTCTGGTCATGAAATTGTTGGGTGACTGTCTGGGTAGTTAATGAAGGTTTATTCCTGTTTCTGCTGCCCCTTTTGCTTTCTGATGATATCATCATAAGCTTGTCAAGCTTTAAATAGTTTTCTGTCAGCTGTCTTCTAAACGAATGAAATTTCTTATGCACCTATAATGGTCCTATCTTTTCTCCATTGAGACCTGGACTGTTAGAAGTTGGATGTGACTGGAAATGTTTCTAATGCAGATCTGCAACATGCTAAGAAAGAAACATGAGGAGGCAAAGGAAATTTTAGTCCGAGCAATTGTGACCAACAACAACCTTCTTATGCTAAACCATCCTATCTATGAACAGAAAATATCCTTTCATCTCTGCTGTTTTAGCTACTGACTTTGTGTTGACTTGCAATTCAAAAATATAATTGTACAAATACCTTAACTGTTGAAAACATCAGAATGGTTCAGAAATTTGCAATGCAGCTGAAAATAAGGGATGTTCACACTCCAACATAATCAGCTAAAGCAGGAATTGTCATCTCTAGGTATTATCTTCTCTCTTATCTTTCTGCCTCACAGACACATGGATGCCCATCGAATGAGCTGGTCATACTCAACCAGGAGTTAAGAGGCACATGTATCTGCATAGTTCACTATCTCGAGAGATTGGATTCTGCAGTAGTTTGTTTTTTAGCTGCCCTGTTAATTTTGTTGGTTTCCCAGGGTCAGCAATAACTGCTGTCCAATGTCATGTCCATAATTTGCAAACAAGTCTGTCATTGTGCTCCCCAAATTCTGGGAAATTGAATGAATTCAATATGTTGAATGCCAAAAATGTGAAGCATGGAGTTTTGCCGCTGATCTCTGCATATTGCCATGGTTAAGGTTGTACATCCTTTTTGCAGTATTATCTGGTTGAATAATGCCCACAAGGAGAGTGATGTAAATTTTGTGATGCCTACAACTGAAATGGATTAGATAACAGCATGATTCCCTTCACTTGATTACTTATGTTGCAGTTGGTGCAGCTATGCAGTTGATTACATTTTTTTTCCCCCTCATTTTCAATTTTTCTGGGTTGTTTATTTCCAATTAGGTCATCTGAGTGCAATTACTGTAAATCTTCAGCTAATCTTTTCATGAAAATATTTAGTCCTATATACCAATTTGCCACTGCAATTTGCAATTCCCAATCTGATGGAAAAATTTTTTTTTTTCTCCTTTCAATATGCTTTGTAGAATAGGGATTGAATCTTTGCTCATGGTTTTCCGAGCTACTAAAAGTAAATTGTAATGATCAACTCAGAGTACTAGGCATGTTGCTTTGGAAAAGTAGTTTTAATCACATGAACTAGCATTCGTTTCCAAAGTATGGTTATCATGAATTTTGACTTTAATAGTAACCATAGTACTAGATGTTCATTGCTACCTGCCCCAGGCTAGAATGGTAAATATCGCATGCCCTTGGTAATTACTGCCAAAATAGAAGTTTCGGAAATTATGAATTTATTTGCTTTTGTTTATGTACATACATTATACTGTATACATTAGTTGTTCGTATTTGGTAGTCTAGTCTGCAAGGGCGGGGATTAAAAAAAGCTCCGCTGTGGAAAATTCAAAGCTTCCTCCCTCCTGGGGAGTGTTTTAATTCTGCAAGACAAAAAAGCTGGCGGGCATTTTCTCCCTCCCAGTCCTAGACGAGGGGAGAGGACCATTGGATTTGGAGTTGGAGGGCTTGTTTGAATTTTTAACTATTCGAAATCAAAACAACGACCATCTCCAAAGTCCAAACAACTTTTACATTCGATTCAACTCTCAAATTTAAAATGCAAATCCCATCTCCCCTCCAAAACAAATCCAGTTTCAGTACAAATACCCCTTCCTATCCCCACCTCTAATCTGTCTCTGTATGACTCTGTCTCTCTTAGCTGTTGCCTTTCTGCAAACTACCCTCGAATACTCGCACAGAGAAACACAGACAGTGTCATAAATGGCTCTACCTTCTCTCTGTGAATTAATCAACAAAGAAAACATCCCAAAAACAGAGGTTCCTGAAGTCAATTCACATCCTTCAATTCAGAGTTTAAAAAAAAGAAGACTACTCTGGAGGAAGCCACTCGAGGACATTACCAACATCTTTCACCCTCCATCTGAACAATCTGTTCGTTTAAATCCATCGTCAGGCACCATTTCTCCTGTTGTTTCTTGCTCTTGTTTGGCTTGTAAGGTCAATAACTCCTGTGATAATTTACAGGTTTTGATATTCCTTTCGAAGACTTCTGTGAATGGATCGAGCATTTTGAGATTAAGAAAGGGCTTTAGATAGTGTAATTTACAGGTTTTGATATTCCTCTCGAAGACTTCTGTGATAATAGCAGTTATTCAATAAATTCTTCTTGAACGAAGTTGTTCTACATAGAATTGACATCTTAACAACTGTTTTCAGTCTCGAAGTTTGTCCTTTGGTCTTGCTTCAAATTGCAAGAATCAAGATGAATATACTTGTCTGTTTATTGGTGGGTATTATTTATGCATTCATGGGCTTCTTCTCGATTGTGAAATCATTAGACGAAATACATTGAACTTTCATGGATGGGTCATTTTTAAGCTGTTTCAAACTGCACTGACAATTTTAATGATCAAGTTTTTATATCGAAGGTAGCCTTCTGAAAATTTTAGTGCACATGATTAATACATTTATAGAAGGGATCGTTAATTAAAAAAAAAAAAAAAAAAGCGTTCATCTTCTTCCTGCATTAAATTCACGCTTATGTTCGGCCTTCTCTAAAAGGTTCTATTACATTAACTAATGACATATGTACGTCTTTTATTCTCCACTTGCAAAAAACGTCAAAAGAAGATATTCTCAGTTAAAGGTGTCGTTACTTTTGAATCTGCTGACTGCAATAGGCCAATCCTCCAGATATGGGCATTAATGAAGGTGTTTAGACCTACACTACACCAATCGTAAACAATCATAATCACGCTTTTCTTTCAGGCGGAGCAACTACAAGTCTTAAACATCTCCAAGAAAAGGCGCAATCAGCACTAATGAACAATCACGCCTTTATTCCTGAAATAAAAGGAGCTAACAACAAAATTACCTGAATTTTGCCCAAGTATCTCTAATCTTAAAATCTTGAAAACTAATAATTTGGCCATAGCTTTGAGAGAATGGAAAGATCATCTTTTTGTTTTCATATTGACACCGGGGAATCCTGGAAAGGGAGTTTTCATGGTTTCATATTCATGGAAACATATATCATCTTTTGTTTGTTTGAGGGTAAAAGTTCTGTATCTATTTAAACATTCATCTTTGCCGTCCTTATTCATCATTTTAAAACATCTCCATAAGCCTCCTCTTCCTGTCTTTTTCTCAAAAATGAAATCAAAGGTAGGTTTATACTCAATGCGCAATTTGTGCTTCTTAAATGCTGATGAAAAATCCAATTCAACTAGGCAATAAACCACACCAAGAATCAATTGGATCAGCCGTGCCGTCCATCCTGATCCTGCAATACTCTTTTATCTTTAGTGGATGAGCTCGACTAGGCAATAAACCATTAAATTTCAACAGCCTAACCATTAAACCATCCTGCAATACTCTAGTTGACTGGATTACTTAAAAAACTGTTGATCAACAGTAATGGTTCATTTACGTCATACAATTAGGTCGTCTGACAAGCGCGCTCCTAATTTGTTGTCGCCATACTATTGCTATGGATTCATCATGATCTTTTAGATAAGTTTTTCGGCGTCGCATTCTGTACCTAAAAGCCAAGATTCACACAACAACGATTAACATTCATTGAAGTCTAGAGGAAACGTCCAATGAAAAGAGAATTTCGTCTTGAGCAAGACCTTTATTGCCGACATCAATATGGTACTATGCACTTTGGCCTACTCAGATGCTGCGCTTATCAGTTAGCCATCTGCACCAGTCAAGCCAAAGCTGGGTGGCTCAAAAAGGCATAAACTTTTTCTTTTTGCTTCTAAAGAAAATAAAGGAATCCTCCTTTAATTAAAAAAAAAAAAAAAGCTGGGATTTTGGTAAGATGATCAGCAAGTGGCTCAACTGGAAACAACTCAAGGACTCGCAGTTTCTTTGGCCCCAGTTACAATTTCAATGTGGCTACTGTTCTTGGGACTCGATGCATCGGTTCTAGGTGTTCCTGTTCCTCTATTGTAGTCGTGCTTTTTAGGGTTGCAACCATGTTACACTAGGTTAACCTTCTAAAACATAATAGTAGTATAACATGAATGCAAGCAACATTCAATAGTGTAACAGAGGACCAAGAGCCTCGGTTCAGAGAAATCCATTAGTCTGAGGTGCTAGCAAATTTGTCCACTAGGACATCACTTGAGCTGACCCGACAAGTCTAAAGAAAAAGGAAAGTATTTCCTACCTAGAAGGCCAAGTTAGAATAAGCAATCGTGTTCTGGGGTGACTGCTGAATTGGCCGGTGATTAACATAAGGATGCTTAACCAATGATATCACATCAGCTGCATCAGCGATAAAAAAGAACGGATCATTCTTGTAGCTTTCACTTTTGCACCAGCCAACAGCCGCCAATCCGCAGTTTTTGTGCCGCGGCATCTCAAATCCAACTTGTCCTTTTCTTATCTGAGAGGGTAGGATATACCTATGAATCAAATTGCTGACTAAGGATTTACTTTAGTTTGACTCATCCATGACCCGGAATTTCGTCAAGGCCACATCAGTCATTGAGCATCACTGGAAATTCATTCGTTCTGTGTCAACTACAATTCGAGGGCTTTCAAAGTAGTAGTATAAGATATGAACTTTACATGTAAGGACAGATGGACCTGCTTTTTGAATCAGTTTCTTTTTTAGAAATTTGAGGAGGAAAAATTTGTGACATAAATGGGATTGCAATATATATAACGGAACCCCGATTCTATGAATCATTTACCTAATCTTCAATCAGTTGCAAAGCTGCTTGTGTTAACTAGCCACTTAAATCTCCAAAGAGCTATTACAGCTGCTTGTTAACTAAATCAAATGGCTAACATGAAATTTCTTTTCTGCCTTATCCTACTAGTTCTTTCATCAGAAACTGCACATGCTCGGCCTTTGAAGCAAATTAGTATTGCTAGAATAGCATTGGAGGCACAATTTGCAGCTGTGAAGATAAGTGGAAACAACAATGACTGGCCTGACAGAGTGGCTCCAGCAGGACCTGATCCACATCATCATTTTGACAATCATAATTGAGTAGAAAACGATTGTGCTGTCACTTTGTTCTTCATCTTAGCCAATCATTCTAGACTTTTTTCTTTTTCTTTTTCTCGTTCTAATCGGTTTTATGGTTGTTACACTTGACATTAACCATTTGAACGGGACGTGGTTTTTAGAATTAGGGGAAAATATGGATATAAGAAAGAGTATATGAACAGTAATGTTGTTCATTGTGCAATCAATCTTTGTATCCACTATCAATCACGTAATTATGGAATTTGAGATTTGATTCTCAAATCCTCCTCTTTCTATCTTCTGTTTGTAAGGTTTAAGAGTCTTGGATAAAATAAATAAGGGTATACATGCATTCTAAAGAGCTTTTTCATCGTGCATGGGTCATATTTTGAGCCTTTTTAATGTGTATTAAGTATCTTTTTATATCCTCCTCTGGCAGTATCAACCGTAACCTATCAATTGTTGATGAAGAAAGCTTTTGAAATTGTTGCAACAGACAATATGAGACTTATTTTTTTAGAGATTGCTTGAAATGGTTACTTCTTTCCGATTCCTTCCGTCTTGGTTATAGGAGGCTGGAATGAGCCATCAAAATGTTTTGTTCTCCGAATATAGAGTTCATGGAAGACGTAATATTATCTAGTTACGATCATTGATATGCTTTTGCACCTAAGATGTGGCCTCTAAATCTTGGCCCAACTACATATTATGCCACTATTTTTTTTTCCCAACATACAACTAATCAACTCCATAAGCTATTAAAAGGGAGTTGAATTGAACGGTAAGATGAAAGAATTGTAATTAAGAGATTCTGGATTTAAAATCGCTCACTTATAAATAAAAATAATAATAAAGCCACAATGAGGGAGAAAAAGAAAACTCCGTGTGCTATTATCTATGATTCATCAAGATCCCAACTGAGGCCGATTTTCCAATTTCTCTTGGTTCCTTCAACTCTACGCCAAGCCACCATTTCCCCTTTCACATCTTGAATCATTCTTTGGATGACAAAATTACACGGCCAATATTTGTGCTGTAGTTCCTAGCTTTCCAAATGCGATAAATAGTAGTCGAAAAATATAACGTGCATACTTGATCAACGAATGAGCTGCTGCTATAATAGAACACAACCAATGCTGTCCCGTGTATTAGACATAAATGCTGAATTTGCCTCCAAACTTGAAAAGAGAATTGACATTGAAAAATAGGTGATTTTCAGTTTCAGTAGCATGCATGACCACATAAGATACAAATATCATCAACCACCATCCCCCAGCTTAGCTTTTAAGTCTGGCTAAAATAGACAATCGCCCTTTACAAAGAAACCAGAGAATATATTAGCAAAACGAAGGACACAAGCCTCGTAACTGTACAATCGAATGCCAGGCCACGACAGATCCGTGGAGAAATGTCTACTCATTTTTCAAGTTAAACGTATGTATTTTCTTTTATTTTAGAGAGAATTGTAGTTTTGATCTCAAATGTTTAGAGGATAAGTACTTTTAATACTTAAAGTTTGCACGAAAGAAAATATAGTCCCAAATGTTTCAAATACGAAACACAATTAATCCTAATGACTGTTTTTACCAATTACTACTGGAATCAGGTCACTTGCCGGTAACTAATTTTTTGAAAATATTCTAAAAAATTAATAAAATATTGATAGCCATAATTTTTAATAAAAGATCACTAATTACCCATATGCTGATCAAGAAATTAATTAGTCTTTAACCTATTTTTTTCGTCAACCGTGTTTTTGTATTATGAGCTAAAGACTAACTAACATGATCATCGTGTGAGTAATTAATCCTCTTTTACTACAAATTATAGCAAAAAATAATGTTTTCACTTTTTTTTAAGTCATTTCAAAAAATCACTTGTTAGTACGTGATCAGATTCTATTAGCAATTGGCAAAAATCAGTCTATTAGACTCAATGTGTTTAAAAATTGAAACATTTGAAACTACATTTGCTTTTGTCTAAATTTTAGGAACTAGAAGTGCTCATACCCCTAATATTTGAGATCAAAATTACAATTCTATTTTTCTTCTAACTTTTTATGCTAGACAGACTTTATATTATACAAGTGGAAAAGATAAAGAGGAAGACGTAGGAGTTGAACCAAACCTCTTAAGTGTACCATAATTGATGTTAATATCAATTAAACTCGTCATAAAATATTACTTGTATATTCAACCTATCATTTGTTCTTGTAGAATAGATTGAAGTAGGTGCAAAATATTAAGGTAGACATGCATTCAGTTACTCCAGAACCTACTTGCTCTCTCTTCTGTCGTAATACCATTCTTTTTTTATCT